TGACCGGATGGGTGGGAGGAGAGATAAGCTGAGCACAGCGCACCTCCAAGGAAGCCTGCTGGAACAGGAGGGTCTGCTAAAATCTGGGCTCTGCCCCCACCACACTCCAGGCACTGCATTATGGATGATTAATTCATGGCCAAGTTACTTTCTTATGAAGGTTACTGCAGATACATCAGCGTGACAGGTGGGGCGTGGGGGAAGAAGGTTCAGCATGCTCAAGTCAGAGCTGAATATTAGATTCTAGTCACTATTTGATTGATCTTTTAAGCAATTCTGGGATTCTGTCACTTAAAAACCAATAAATCTTTGAAGGCCTGGGGAAAGCAATGCAAAAGCAATAAATCTCCATTGTGGAATATTAGAAAAATAGGCCAGGCTGCTGATGAGGTTTGGCTGGAGGGACGAGAGTCCAGGGACCCTTCCTGCTGCTCTCCTCAGCTCCTTGCTTATGTGACTCTCATGAGTCAGACCCCTGAGATTTCCAAGGAGCAGCAAGGAGTCAAGAGGGGCCCATAGTTGGCTCTGTCAAGGTCTGAGCATCCTGGGCCCCAGGTAGAAGTGCCTACCTGAGAGGGGCTGGAGGCCAAGCTCAGGTGGGAGTCTGCAGCTTTATGCAGAGAGACATCACCAGAATTCACAAGTTACAGGTTGGGTGTCCCCAACCCGAGTTGGAGGACTTCTAAGTCATCTTACCTGCCCCTCATGCAGAAGTTGAACTTGTGGCATCCCTATGAAAGGGTCACCCAGGCATCACTTGACTTGTCAGGCCTGGGAGATTCGAACTTCAGAACCAGGAAACTCTGTCTATGTCTGACCACTGGCTTTATTTGTAATGAACTCCGTGACCTTGGGCCAATCATTTAATACCTTATAGTACAGTTTTTCTCTATGAAATGGAACTGGCGTTTCCCAGGTTACTCGCAAAGCAGGGGAAGGTTAGATGATACAACAGAAGAAAATAGCAACTGTAAAGTATTTGTAAAACTATCTTTTCTTATTTATTTGTTTGTTTGTTTGTTTGTTTATTTATTTGAGACAGGGTCTCACTGTGTAGTCCTGACTGGCCTTGAACTCACTACATAGCCCAAGCTGACCTTGAACTCTTGGCGATCCTCCTGCCTCAGCCTCTTAAGTGCTGGTATTACAGGTGTGTGCCACCAGGCCTGGTAAAAATACTATTTTTTAAATTGACATGTAATATTTGTACTTATTTATGGAGTTTGATAAGATAATTTGATACATGTATAAAGTGATCAAATCAGGGTAACTAGTATTTAGGTCTCCTCAAATATTATCATTTTTCTGTAACTTCCAAATTTTTTCCAGTTATTTTGAAGTATGGATGTGACCACAATGTTACAACTCCTTCCTCTTGCTATGGTAAAAAATGACTCAAGGCATCCTGGACCGTCTAGCAAGCTCTTAGAGTCCTGGGTCATGGGTGGCATTTTATTGGTCTGACCTGCTGCCATCTTTCAACCTGCAGGACCCCCCACTGTCCACTTTTCTTGGTGATGCTTATCTCTTCATCTGCTCTAGTGCTCCATTCAGTGAGCATAGTCATTGTCCCTGCTGCCTTGTGTCAACTTATTTGTTTGGCTGATTTCATTATTTTGTCTGTTTATTTGCTTATTGCCCTACCTCCCTCCCCATTGACAGGCACACAGCAGGTATTAAGTCTCAAGAAGGCAGTGTTATGTCCACCTTGCTTCCTCCTTATCCCCAGAGCCTAGCTCACTTCCTGATCCATAGTGAATACTCAATAAATATTCACTGAACAACTTCATGTCAACTGCCTCCTCCCATATGCCCAAAGTTCAAGGTGAAACCTGGCAAAGAACCTTAAATCAACCATGTTATTGCCACTCTGTCACTGCAGTTGTCCTGAAAGGTTTGCTGAGTGGCACTGGTTAGTGTCTTCTCCTTCCTGGAAAATGCTCAAGCAATGTCTGAAAAATAATTCCTGAAATAGAGCGTACACCCACCCTCCATGATCCAGACCTTGGGATGAAAAGCAGCCAGACATTTCCAGACACTAACCATTTCCCCTCTGAGCAGTGACATTTCCTTTATTTTAATTTTTTGGATGAAAATGTCACCAAAATATGTCATGCATACTTTTCTACTAGGGAGGAGGCATGCTATAGTAATGAGTATAAGGTTAGAGTCAGAACTGGGCTTACATTTAGCCTGTAACTTACTTGTGTCATGGCCTGGGTCAACACACTTAACTTCAGTTTATCTCAATTTTTACATCTACAGAAGAAAGGCCCTTTACCAAAATACTGTGAAGACACAGACAGGGTTATATACAATGAAATACACACAGCAGACGTTTGCACATTAAATGAAAGTAGTTGGCTATTTTAAGTTAAACACGCATTTTCATCTTGTAAACCAGGATCAAGGAATAAGCACCTCTGGCTGTAAGGATCTATAACATGAAGACCCCTTGATCTTTGACTATGCATATCTGCTCGGTGGAGCTGCCCTGTTCCTTTGCTCACTGCCATTCTCAGTTCCTCTTGCTGCTGGGTCCTTTCCATCCCCTTCTCTCTCCTTATAATTCACTGTAGTCTAAGGATGCATGAATTTGTTGTTAAACAGACATACAAAGCAAGAAAATGTGGACTCAGAGGGGAAATGCAAGAGTTTCTGTTAGTGGGGACTAGAAAAATCGCCCGTGCATTTTTGTTTGGGGTGTTCAGAGAGCCCCTTTACTTGGGAGAGGGGTAGAGATCTTAGCCTTTGGTCTCTGGAATCAGGCAGGCCTGGGTGTCTGGACTACTTGGCCCTGGGTGCTACCTTATTCATTCAGGCTAAGAAATACTTCCAATGTTTTATAGATAAGGAGAACAGAGAAATAGAGGGAAAAAGGGAAAGGAAGAGGGAGAAAAGAGGAAGGGGATAGAGATAGAGATAGAGATGGATTAAGCATCTTGTCTGATGTCAAGTTTGCAGAGAAAGAACAGGATTTAATCTAGGTTCATTGTCATCAAACACATTCTTTTCATGGCCCCACACAGCCAGAAGACTTTGAGGGAACTGGACTAAATTTATGTTCACTAGGAGACCACACAGTAGAATGCCAGTCAGACTAAATCCCTTGCTGATAGATTTATAATCTTGGGTAACCAAATCTACAGTAGAAACATCTGACTTGGGGTCAGATCTGGGCTGTGCTCTGGGCAGCTTCCCTCTCTGGCCATACATTTGTCCTCTGGGAAAGTCAGATTTTGCAATAGTGATTGATGTTGCTATATAAAAGAAAACTGTTAAATGGAGTAAAGCTTTGTTGGCCACAGTGGAATGGTGACAGGACACCCAGAGGTGCTACATTCAAACTCAGCTTTCCTAGTTCCTACTTAGTGTCTGTGTGTTTTGGACATCTCTGAACCTCAGTCTCTTCATCCGAAAATGAAGATAATAGCTCCCATTGTGTAGAGAAAATTAAATGACAATGCTATACCAGAAGAAAAGCAGAGGATTAATAACCTGATTTGACTCTAGAGCTACCATTCAATTTTGCTTATCACAGGCAGGACACTCCTAGAACAGTTACTGTGCAAAATATAAGAGCAAAGCTCTATGGTAACTTTAATCACACCTGCAAAGTTCACTTCAGTTGGAAGGATTATGATCCAAAGTTTCCAGACTTCCAGGACTTCCACAATTTTGGTGACTTAAGTCTATCTGCTCCACTGCTTATAATTTCCAGGTAGGTACAGAGTGGGAAAAGGAGTTTAGAGCCCTCTCAGAACTTCCTTTTAGGCTGATGTACTGGAATTCAGATACACAAATAGTGATGCCACCAGAAGTAGCTTTTCAGGGCTCTCCACGGTCCTCAAATGAGCTGGAGCTTCTCAAACATAGTTCTGTCCTTACCCCAGCACTCCTGCTTGACCTCTGTGTTCAGGTGAACTTAACTACGCATGATTCTCTCCTTTATACCTCTGCCTATCATGGGCCCCTGCAACTTGGGTGAAACCTTACAACTGAAAATGCAGCTCAGTTCTCCCCTCTTGAGAATCTTCTCCTCTAACCTCCCATAGCAACCATGCATATCTCTATAAGAATGTACTATACTGCAGTTAGGTTTTCTCACTTCTTTCTGCCTATTTAGAATTCAGCTTCCTTTAGAATATAATTTATTTATGGCTAGTTCATGACTCTCTACCAAGTAATTAAACAGTGACCAAAATAGAGAGGATACTTGATAATATTTGTGTTGAATGAACAATTTTCAAGCCCTGTGCTACACCTTAGTTCAGCAAGTGTGTATTGATTATCTTATGTACCAAGAGTAGGGTGAGGAAAGCTATTTCATTCCACATTCTGCCTCATTTTTATGACCTGAGGTCTTGTTTCCTGGAGCTCTGAGTAAAACCAGCAGTTAACATTGCTGCCTTGTGCAAAGTGTTGCTCATTTAGGAGAGACACTCACTCTCCTGATGCCTGTGGACATACACTGATCACCTTAGCTACTGTGATGCTTTTGCTGCCTCTTGGAACCGTATGCTTCTGACCTAGTATCTTGTTAAAATCAGTGGGTGATCTTGCCAGCAAGACCCCAGTGGGATTCTCACACTACACAGCCCTAGGCTGGACACGATCCTTCCCATACCTATCTCTTCCCATTCATAATATCTCAACAGGTTCTTATGAGAACTCAATCAATCTGTTAGTCTGTTACTGGGAGAAAGGTAATTTTTTCAGAGGACTCGGTCCAGGTTTCTGACAATGTAATAGAGTTGTGTTTGAGAAAGTTCTCTCCTTGCCCATGTCAGGTTCCTATCAGCATGCTTCTTCTGAATACTCCATTGTAGGATGGATGGATCCTGGCTTAGATACCTACTGTGAATTGAATGTGGGACTGCTGACCCTGTCCCTTCCAGAAAGTTTTGCTCCTGGTCCCATTGTGCTCATGCATATCGCCAGCCACATGATTCCCCTGGAGGTGTGTGTGGTACAAAGAAAGAAAACCATAAACTCCTCACCTGACAGGGGCTCCCCGGGACTGGGCAGGTTTCAGCATCACTGTGATGGTTGTGTCTGTTTCATTCAGTGGGGCGTCTGTGTCATATTCAGGCATCGAAGGAGCTAGGCAGGGAACAAAGATTGGAGGTGAGCTCAGCACCAGTCCCCAACCTTGCTTGTCACCTAAAATACTTAAAAGTTATTCCAGATGACTATAAAGGAATGGGTGCTAATGCAGGACAATAGAGGCTTGCAGCAAAGAAGGCTCTGACTTCCAACTTGTAAGGTACAGTAGTCTGGAGAAGGCTGACAGTGATGTGGCCAGGAACCCACATGTACTCAAAATCCCACAGGGAATAAAGATACATGTAAGAAATGGAAGGTCTTAATAAAGATGTGAAAGCACAGTAAATCTTGCTAAACACATTGAAATATAAATAAAGCAATAATAAATTATTTCCCCCTACTTTTTTTTTTATCCATGAGACCCACCACAGGAGCATGACTAAATCTAATCCTTTGAAAGGGCAATTTAGCTATTTATATTAAAACCCACATCCTTTTTAATTCAGCTTTTCAATTTCTGAATTTAATCCAAAAGTTACAATCCAAACCAGTGAATTAAACTTTTATTTTGTAAGATGTTTATTGAAGTGTTATTTTATGAAAAACATGGAAGCACAAATATATCCAACCACAGGGAAATGTTTAATTAAATTTCGTCCATCCACTTGACAGAACCTCATAAGGAAGGTGATGTAGCCACATGGGAAATGCTTATGGGATAAGAAAGAGTAAGTGGAAACATTAAACTATAAAAAAAAATCATGGATTTACAAAACCACCCAGAAAACATGTCCTACATAGACCAGAATTGCATAGATATTCCAAAAATGAAAGGTGCAATAAAGTATTCTGGGATAATTCTATGCTGATGCTGTCTCAGTTGTGAAGAAGGGAACCCTACTAGTAATGACGACTGCAATCTTTGATCACTGTGGCTTGGTCGCTGCATTCATTCATTCATCAAAAAATTTCATGAGACTCTGTGCTGTATCTTGCACTGGCAAGAAGAATATTTCTGAAAATACAATTACAAACCAATTTTTATGCTCTTACTCATTATATAGATGTAGACAGATGAATATAGATATATGCACACTATTTAATGCTGTCTCATAGCAAGTTATTTGGTGAATTGTCACCTAATTAATGTATTTTTCACACTTTCGGAAGTTCTTCGATCGGTTTCTTCACGAGGTTGCAATAGTAACCCACAAGGGACTGCATTATTCTAATTGTTCCAATACCACACAGAGACAATTGGCTCTGCCTCTTTTCTCTGTCAGAAAAACTGGCCACGGCTAGGGGAGGACAGCCTTTCCTCCTTTTCCCTTTCAGGGTACATACATACATCAACTCCCAACAAGGAACGTACTTGCTATGAAATACAAACACGTACAAATAAAAATTAAAACTAACAATAAAAAAAGACAAAGAAAGAGATACCTGAAATTTTGGTTGCAATCCGAGTGGTGACTGGGGGCCCAAAACCCTTGGCTGTGCTGGCCTTGATAGTGAAGGAATAGGTGGTCCCCGGGTACAGACCCACAAAGAGATGGTGAGTTTCATTCCGGAGCTTGAACACTTTCCCCCTCTGGCTAGAAAGATCAGCACTTGGGTCCAGGGAGCCAACAGCTTTGTAGTTGATCTACAGGACAAAGCAACAAACAAACACGTAAGTGCCCCACTCAGAGGGCTGAATGGAGCTCATCGGAGAGGACATGTGAGATAGGTAGGTCAGCGAGTCCTTCAGTGTCACCTGCTACTGTCCACCTGCCAGGATCAGCCCAACATCTGCAGATCCACTGCTGACATGCCAGGGCAGCCCTGTGCAACACAAATAGGATGCAAGCTGTATAAGTCATTGTAACTTTGCTAATAGTCACATTCAAAAGGGGTAGGAAAGTGAAATTATTTTTAGTAACATATCTTTTTATTAGATATTCATAATACTATCATTTCAACCTGTGATCAGTATAAAAACTTTAATGAGATAGCAGACATTCTATAGTTCATATTACACCTTAGGGATCTGGCATACATTTTACTCTTATTGGGACCAGCCTCATTTCACAAGTAGTCTTGCATGGCTAGTGGTTGATTAATTGGATAGCACAGCTGTAGAACAACATTGAAATGCAGTAACATGATAAGAATTATTTAGGGATCTTGGTAAAAATTCAGATTATGGTTCCTACCCTATACATATAGCACTACATTCCATTGTATAGTTTGTTTTTTTTTTTAAATTTTCCAAACAAACCACTGCAGATCGATAGTAAAATCTTCCCCACCAGACTTATCCTATGAGTGCATCAGTAGGTGAAGTGGTCTATACTGCAGAAAAGAAACTAGAGGATGTCATAACGCCTGATCTTGTTGGTATTCTCCCTATCGTTGAGCAGGATCAGGATAGTTATTCTCATTTTAAGGATGGCAGAATTGAAACTCAACTGGAAATATCTTGCATTAAATCAACACTTTTCAACTCATCTACAGTTTTTAAAAATTTTTTTTTAAATTTTTTTTAATTCTCCAATCAAACCACTGCAGATCAATAATAAAATCTGCTCTACCAGACTTATCCTATGAGTATGTCAGTAGGTAAAGTGGTCTACACTGCAGAAAAGAAACTGGAGGATGTTATAAAAATGTCAAGATATAGAAGTTTTGAAGTGCCTGCTCAATTTCTACAGTTATATTGCCACAAAACTAATGAACAGTTGATGGTGTGGTGCTGGCATCCACTGATCATACTTGGAATACACATGTCTAAGCTTTATAGTTGCTAGGTGGCATACACAAAGTATTTTTTTACTTCTTCCCATTGAATTATTTTATTAATGTATAATGCACACAATGTAGTATACAGGCAAATGAGTTTTTGCAAACCAGATAGTTATACAATCAAGAAACAGAACCCAGACATAAGCCTTTCATCTCATACCTTTTAATTTTATCTGCCTCCTGGATCCCAGCAAGGATCACCTCTACCTGACTTCTAAGAGCATGGGCTAGTTTTGTGTGGTTTTGAACTTTATATAAACAGAATTCCATAGCATGCACATTTTTACACCTGGCTTCTTTTTCACATTATGTCTGTGAGATTTGTGTTGTCACTGTAGCTGTAAACCATACATTCTCACATTTATCCAGTAATTGGTTGCTGGCATGGACTAAACATGGGTCTCAACTCCAAACCTGTGGTCATTATTCTATACCACATTGTCTGGCCTGGCCTGCAGACATGGTCCAGGAGTCAAGAAAAGACTTATTTATCCACTCCGCCGCTCCCTTACAAACATTTCCTGAGTACTACTGGACCCCAGACTCTGCATTGTGGGCCACTAGGAGGCCTTCAGTGATTAAGCCCTGATCTTCTAGTGGTTTTTATACTAGAGTCAGGGAACCCAGTTAAACAAACAGCTCAGAATATTTTATCTTACATCAAGAATACCCATAGATATAGCATGACCAAATCGAAGCAGAAAGGGAATACACAAACTTCATTTTAACAATGAGCAAACTCCTATTTCTGTCAATGGCATCAAAGGTTTTTGGAGAAAAAAGAGATTCCTCTCTCCTGTATTAAGTCACAGTGGAGTAGCAGCTGATGTCATATGCTTGATGAGAGAGGCCAGATGGGAACGAGAACAAAGTGAGATCAGGAGAAGCACAGAGAGGTGATAAACTCAGGATTTTGCAAACACAGCCTGAGCATCTACTATGCAGATGGCTCGTGGTTTAGCTTCAAATCTTTATCTTAGAGCCTGCTTCTGAGTAGTGCCAGACTAGGACAAAGTGCTTGGGAAATTACCTCAGGATGGAATAGAACCAGTGTCTGTAGGGTGGTGGGGGCAGAGTCGGAGCAGAGGAGAGGAGCTTATTTTTCCCAGGTAGCAGGAATTGCAGGAGCAGAGGCCTGAGGTGGGAAAAGGCTTAAATAGAAAGAGCCCAGGATCACTGCAGAGTGGACAGCAAGAGGGGAGGTGTCTCACTAGTTCCTGGATTCCACCATGTCAGAAAAGGGGAGTTGTTTAGAGTGGTATCTGTGGTCATTAACCCCTGCACACCAGTGTGCTTTTGCATTTTCTCAAAATTCTGTCCTAGTCTTCCTTCCTGAGCTGGTGGCAACTGCACTGATATACAGACACTGGGAGGTAAAACTCATGCCTTATTTACTAGCCAGCTCTTTCCCTGTGCTCCAAATTCAATCCAAAAGCGGCTCAATTTCCACGGAGCTGTCAATATAATATACCGCGCTCCCCTGCTCTCCTAACCTTTCCTGGTATTACAGGATCCTCACTTACTTGTAATGAAACACTATGAATAAATCAATGTATGTTAATATAGCATGTCTTCAATTTTTTATGAAGGGCTCCACCAAATCTAATTCCCGCTGCTTTGTCAGAAACAGTCTTTGAAAAATTTAACTTGCAAGTTTTGGAAGTTATGGGAGATCAGGCTGGGCAAGGAATAAAGAAAGGTAAGAAAATGGAATGGGAAGGAGCCATGGCCTTAAACACATAATGCAATATGAATCTTCGTTTGGAAGTAGAGGAAAGGGAACATTTATTGGTGTACTAAACATAAAATAGAGTTCATGGAGAAAAGAGTACTAAACTGTGTATCAGCTCAAGCTCCAGGGATAGGCTCTGGGTACAACAAAGTGGTATTTCCCTTTTCCTATGGTGCCCGACAGTGGGATCCCCTAGCTAGAAATTAGAGTGAGCGCTTTGTAGCAGAAGTCCAATGATGCCATCAAAACAATGGTCTCCCTTAGCTCTTAGCATTAAGCAACTCACTGAGTGAGCAGGCTCCACCTGCTCTTCCTTTTCCACGTTGCCCCCTGCCAAAATACATTTCAGTTTGTGAAAAAAATAAAACATGGCACTTTTGGTCACAGGACCTCCACATGAGTTAATCTGTCACCTTGGAACATTCCTGTCTTCCTTCCCTTGACCCCTCTTGGCCTAAGTTATGACCTCTCATCCACAGATTTCACTTAAAATGGCACAGGTCATGAGCACCTTCTGTGACCCCCAAGTCTTATTATATATACTGAGAGTCATGTCTATCTCTTTTGTTCCACTAACTTTTATTTAACTAATCAATTATTTCATGAAGTCTCTTTTCTATTAGCTCAGAGATTTAAAAAAATGTAGTCTACAAGGCAAATCTAGCCCACTGACATTTTTTATAAACTAGATTTCTTTGGAACACAGCCTCTCCATTCATTTATGCATTGTCTATGGCTGCTTTCACACTATAACCATAGAATTAAGTAGTTGAGGCCCCCACTCCATGGTTCACATGACAATACACTTACTTTCTAGCATTTTACAGAAAAAAATTTACTGACGCTCATATTAGACTTTATTTTCCAGGAGGGCAAGGATGGTTTGGTCTTGGTTTAACATTTCATCTCATTGCACATATAAGTGAATGATCAAATCAGCTGTGCGGCCTGAGAAACTTGCTTAACTTTCTCTGAACCTTGAGGTATTGAAGGGTAAAGTATGAATTCTAATTTCAGTTGTATCTATAGAACTATGTTCTATAGTTCATATTGCAGAGTGACCCTTAGCTTCTTTACTCCTGGAAGACAGCCCCTTTGTTCAGGAGTAAGGTTCCAGGGAGTACCTGGGCGATATCTGCTTGTGCACCAATGATCTACTGCAAGGAACTAGGAAAAATCATGAGAAAAAACACACTGATCTTCTACCTGAGCAGAAGGAAGGGAGTAAGAAATTTAGGGAGACTTGACTACTCCCCAAACATGAACACTCTTGGATTGAGCTGTACTGGGAAATAGACACTGGGCAAGGTTTGAGGTGAGACTATCTCAGTCTTGTTCAGGAAGAGCAGAAAAAAAGATCTTCCCCTGCCCCAAATTCACCATGGTCCCGTTCCTTAGCTGATATGTGAATTTCAGGGCCACTGCCTGGTGAAGAACACAAACCCAGTGATGGCCTGCAAGGACCACCATCTTTCAGAGACATCACTCTCTGAGATAGGAGAACCCAGCCTGATGAAGATTCAGAAAACTTATAAGAACTCATACTGACCAAACCCAGGGTGATTTTATTGAGCTAACCACATGCTCGTATTATACACTTATATAGAGGTTCAGGTACACATCATGATTAGAGACAAGATGCTGTAAAACCAATGATTAAGTAGAAAGGTTTTAAAAAGTGGAGCAAAGCCATAACAGCATGACTGACTTGTAAACCAACTCAGTACAAGTCAGCCACAACTTGATCCAGAGGCATCCCCCGTAGCTTAGCTTGCTTCTCTCATAGTACCACTCTATCTTCATTCTAAGCGCTGCCAGAACATCACCTCCCTATGTTATCTCTCCCTTGTGCTCCTGCCTTTCTCTAAGGGCTTCTGGCTTAGACTCTGGAGATCTAACAATAGGTCAATTTTAGCAAGATCACAGATAATATGACCCATACATTCATTGAAGAAGGGGTTAAATTTTCTTCAAAATAAGGTGTTAAAAGATTTTTTTAACCTTGCTTGGCCCATTGTAAAGGTGTTCATAGGCAGGTCTTTGCCTTCTGGGTGGCCTCAGAGGCAACAGTGCAGAAAGAGAACAGCTTGGGGTAACTTTCTCTTGTTACAGAGCATAGGGTTGTCTTC